GGTTAGTCTGAAAGTGGGCTCGATCCCAGGTCTTGCGGATTGGTAACAACCACAAACACAAAATATTAAAAACAAGCGCGACTTTCTAGACGCTTGAAATTTGCACTTTATTGGATTAAAATTGCATACCCAAAAATCCTCTAAAGAATCATATTAAAAAGCTCGAAATCTTAATGAAAATATGTTGACGACAGTTGATTCATAATAAAATAATTTCTCCATCATTCGAATACATATATGTTTTGAATAAACTAAGTTATTTATTATTTACGAATAAAGAAGCCAACAATTTATATATTTGTTATTCGTCATTCGAATGAACGTTGCCCAACTCTGGTCTGTGATAACAGATTGAAGGGCGCGGGAAGAACCCTCGTTCTCAGATCATAATATAGTTTTAATATTGATCGCTATCCCGTGAAAATCCTATCAACACGAACTGGGACCTTTATAGAAAGATTCTCATGAGGGAAATGGGTCTACTTATGCCAATTAGCTCTCTCGAAGAACTCGAGATTAGACTTGAAACTCTAACTAAAGCTCTTACCAAAGCACACAAAATTTCCTGACCCCTGATGCGAGCGAGGCGCAGGTCACAGCCTTCCTGGTGGAACAGGGAACAAGGGGAAAGAAGGCGATATGTTCGCGAAATGTTCAAGCTGGAGGGGTTTACTTAAGCTCTACAAAAAATAAGTCCGGGTTGCCAAGCGAAGCGCTTGGAAAGACTTCTGCACAAGCATGGAAGAAACGGCGGAGGTGAGAACACTTAAAAAGCTGCTATAAAAGCACTCTTCCATGCCAAGTCTTGCATGGTCTTGAGTGACTCTGAGCCGGTCAGAAACGCTATTGGGTTCAAGGCTAAAGACCTAGTCACCTTCGAGAGGCTGGAGTGGGCCATTAACTAATTGGCCTCTTTAAAATCTCCCGGACCGACGGCAATATTCCAGCCATGATACAAAAATCTTCGGATCTAGTAGTACCATGGCTGAGATGCATCTATAACGGATGTTTAGAGTCCAAGGGGATTGTGTTTATGCCCAAAGAAGGTAAAATTAGCCATTTGTACTGGAAGGATTACAGACCGATTATTCTTACCTTTTTCATTCTAAGAGTCTTTGAAAAGATTTTGGAAGCCCATATGGGGGAAAAGCTGGGTTCCGATGGTATGTCAAGATACAACACGCATACATGAAATTCAGAGAAATAGAAACAGTACTCTATACATTGATTCAAAATGTCGATAAAGCGCTGGAAAGAAAATAATACGTTTTAGGAGTATTTATAGATATTGAGACGCCACTTGTATCAAAAAGAAATAATAAGTGGTCATATAAAAATTCGCCAAAATTTTTTGTATGAAAAATGAGCAGGACAGAATGTTACTCATACGCCATGTACACCTGAAAATATCTCGTAAACTTATCCATAGAGTAAAAATTAACTCGATTTTCGGAATCACCGCGCAATTCTATATAGGAATTGGATAGTGGCGTCCGTTGAATATTTTTCCTGTAAACCAGTGTTAGTTTTTAGTTTTCAGTTTTCGTCTTTTTTAGTGCCTTCTTTTGCCTTTTTTGCTATTTTTAGTGCCTTTTCCTGCCTATTTCTCTATTTTATTTTTCCTTTTTTTTTAGGTTTTTAGGATAGGTTCTAATAGTCCGTTCCCTGTATATTAGTATAATAACCTTATTTATGTATTTATTAAAAAAAAAATTAAAAAGTTGTGTTCTACATAATAATTCACGCTACCTATGAGGCAGTGCTATTAGCGAGTTTTTCTTAGCTTGGTTTCCCCTGATGAAAGCGGTGTGAATTACGAGTAATTAGAGAAAACTAATTGCTTGATTAATAATTCACTTTTTTCATTTTCGTTTTTTGTTGGAAAATTTCGCTAATTGCACTGGTTCCCAGCAGAAATGACACTGGATGCCACTATCGAATTCCCATAAAGAATTGCTCGCTGATTTCGAAAATCGAGTTACTTATTTTTCGGAATAAGTTTTCGAGATACTGACGATTTAAAACAAAAGGTGGTTCCACTTGATCACGTATATCACACGAACCAATTTAACTACGAAATGCGGAAAATTAAAGCTAACAAAATTCTCCAAAAACTGTGTATACGTTACTTCTCCATAGGCCTGATAGTTTCGGAGAAATTTATTAATTATTTCAGGTTTTCGGTTTTTTTTTTTATGAAAGAAGTTCAAAATAACGAATAGGGGAAAAATGAAAATAAAACAGATTCAGAGTAATCTTTATACCTGTATATCGACACCTGAGTGGAAGGTCGACAGTGAGTTCGAAAAAGCCCTACTTCAGAATCTTATTGAAGAACGCCATACTTCAAAATTTTGTTTGAAAAACACCCTATCTCAGAATTTGATTAAATAACGCCCCATCTCAGATAAAACGCATTGTACATATATATATATATATATAGTTGGCGGAGATTGGTGAAGCAGTTTTCAAGATACACATTTATTTTTGGTGTAAAAGTGCGGTACGACGCCCATTTCTCAGAAATTTCATAAGAAAGCAAGATTTTGCTAAATCGATAATTTATCAGCAATTACCCATTATCGAGGCGCTACTATACATACAGACGGGCGTTATGTGAAAAATATTACACATATGTACATTAGCGTGGTCCAAAAATGCACCCCCTAGGATTGTTCTATACCGTAAAAATATACCCCCATTATTTTATTTTGAAATCGGAAAACATTTAAAGGTCGCTCAAAGTTTTCCATGAGTTTTATATGAAAAAAAAAACACTTTTCGTAGAAATGATTTATAATCATATATATATGTAATACCTCTATATTGCTAGTACAATATGATCGCAAAGATTTTTCGATTCGAAATCAAAGAAAGACAGCCTATGAAAATGTTTGTGGTAGTAGAAGTATACGTGTATATTTGTAAACTAGTACATAGAATGAATGGAATGGAATTCAACAAAGAAACACAAATTCGACGGTCTCATGTTTCCTTCAAGCCGCAATGCATAT